ATTATATTTGTTGGTTGGTGGTTAAATCTTCATGTATATAATGTTAACCTATACCACCACAATCCCAATGACGGATGGTGCTGAACAATGTCCATTAAATGTAAATGACCATATATATGAAGATTCTACATTATTTTCAAAGTTCCCATATTGTATAAAGGTAGATTTCCATGTGATGTTTGATTATAGATCAGGTATAGGTTCTATATTAATACTGTGAAAGTATCAAAGCGCTCAGTCCACAGAGAAATGCACACAGCCTGTATTCAGACACTGAGCCTTAAAACGAGCCGTCAGGACTTCTGTAACTTAGTGATGTCACAACAAAGCAGTCCCCGCTTTCAGACATGCCCTAAGCCCCGCCCACCTGGACCCACCATTCAACCTGCATTTTCCTAGGATGAAAATGATGTCTTCCCATCATCTGCTTCACTGATTAAAGCTTAAATTAAAGATTAAATTAACTACTAATCTCCTCTCTGAAATAAGAAGCTCACTATGTCGTCAGGCACGTCTGTTATGTTCCAGTAATTAAAAAAAATGTTATGGAGCAGGTTAAGTCAGAATCATGTACCTTAACGAGATTTCGGCTGTGCACCTGCCCTCAGATGCTGAGCCATCAATCCATAGTGAGCACGTGACCAAGAAAGCTAACACGCCCTACTTCTGCCAGTGTTCTCGTACATTGTAACCTTTCCAGGTAAAAACACCCGCCAGGTATGTTGAGCTATAAATACCAGCAGCTACTGTTCCCCTCCCCTGCGTACAATATCCTCCAGGTCACGGAGTACGCAGAGAGATTCACCTCTAAACGTTACAGACTGCCAGCAGAGAAACGGTTCAGAAGACGTCTCGACATTTCTGGTTCAGTTTGTTCCTCTCAGAGGATTCCTGTTGTCATCCGATGGCAGCAACATCAATCCTGTTTTATAGCTGGTTGTTACATGCCATGAACTCCAACATGTCTGCTGGCTTTTCTTTTTCTTCAGCCACACACAGTTTGTTAGACCTGAGGCGCATATATCAGTACATGAAAATGTTTTTTTTTTTTTTAATGGTTTGTTGCAGGTGACCTAAAGGTTAGACTCTCACATATCTAGACACATTTTGGACCTTGGCTAAGTCCACCACTCTGGTCCTACAGCTGAGGATACCTACGTAATACAGCAGTTATTTCAGCCAAAAAAAAAAAAAAGAAGCTGACAAACTTATTTCTGAAGCAAAAAAATAAATAAAAAATGATCGGGCTGGGTTGCATTTAGTCTGTAAATCCTCACAGTCTGTCATTTCCACTAATCAAGAAGTGATTTATTACAGAAAACGAAAGGTGATCCAAGATATTTCACATCCTTTCTCCAAAATAAGTTAAATCAGATGTTTGTCACTTGTATCAAGTTACAACTACACAGAAAGCTCAGACTGTCTTACCAGACCTACATAGTAAGTTCCAGTTGTTTCTGTCTGAAACACCTCACTCCTCGTGGTTAGTGGCGGCATTACAAAGGTCTATGAGGTTCTTAAACCCATAAGTTACAGGCCTTTAAATGGGCTGTAATGAGGTCTGTGACCTGTTGTGACTGTTAGCGAAGGGGTTGGATGGTTGTTCTGGTTGCTTATTTCTCTCTTATGGTGACAGTGCTGCAACGTGTACTATGTGCCTTTTACTTAGTTGATCATTTCCTTGACATTCCTTTGTGCTATTTCTATGTCAGCCGTCTTTAAAGAAAACTGTCAGGGCCATTAAAAAAATCTACACTACTGCAACCATTACAATTGTATTCATGTTTGTATTAAAGCAATTGTTAAAAGGGGCTAGCACAGATCGCCCCACTTTAAGGTAATTAGCGCCGCACCTGGCAAAGCAATCAATCAATGGGCCTCCAGCATTTGAACAAGGAAGAAGGTGCAAACTACTCAACTATCAGATTACATATCGAATGTTCATGTTTTCTAATCATAAACACACATTATACAGTCAAACAGTTACTGACATTGGTAGTAAATCTACATCAGAATGTAAAGAAAAGAAAGACTTGTACAATGGCAACCTCATTAAAGTTATTACAGGCCACCAGGGTGTAAAGTTTTAAGGGTTTATATCCTGAAACGAGGTCACCGTCTGTGTGACTCATCTCCACACTGATGCATTTTAAATCGTCAATTTTACATCCAAAGTCCATGAAAAGTCTCGCCACTAGTGAGGTGACACCGTTTCATCTAATGCCGCTTCAGTGTTCACTAAAACCTCCCTTTTCTAAACCTAACATTTTCCTGATGCTAGGAGCAAGATTTTATTTTATTTTGAAACAGGAAATGACAGCAGATTTATTATTCTAGTCTGTAGAAAGGTGATACATGACATCAGATTTTCGGCTCCAGTTTGCTACCTCACACTCTTCTCTAGTGAAATATTGCTTGGCCAGTTACAGGTCATTGCACCTTGAGGGGGACAGGAAGTATTGCAGTGTCTGTGACTTATCTTACAAATGCCAGACTAAAATCACCAGTTTTTTTTTTGTTATTTTTTTTTTTTTAACAACTCTTTAAAAACATATGGGAAAAGAAAGGAAAATAAAGTTCCTGCCTGCAGCTGCTCTGACACACACACACCCCCTTCCTGTCACTCCACACTGAATCCATCTGATGAAGCAGAAACACCATAAATATATAGTCTTGTAAAGAAAGTTGTCAACTGTGAGTTTATAGGGTTTTTTTTCTTTTTCCTGAGACACTCCCATTACGCAACAAACCTGTAGCTGGATTACATCACCTGAACCGCTGAGAGAAAATCAGAACAGTGGAGCCACACCAGTAAATAACATGTATATCTTTGTGTCATGTACTGGTTGAAAATATGAGGAGAGCAAGATACACTATTGTATAAATCTGAAGGCTTTTGATGAGTCAAACTATATTTCTGTTGGTTTTGACATCTCAGAATGCCTTTTGTAAATATATGAGTCAACCCTGATGGCTGATGTTCTGTTTCTTGTTGAAAAGCTTATAAATTAAGGTTAGAGAAGCAATTACAAAGCCACAGTTGGTTCTCATGTTAGTAAATTTCACTCTCAAAGTTTCCTTGCAGTAAATATCCATATCTGGTTCACACTCACAAGTCAAGGGGCTTAAAACAAACCTTCCTGTGATGCCTCATAAACTGCAAGAGGTGGGGGCCCCCCACATTGTTCCTTCAAAAGTTCCTACAAAAATTATTTCATGAACCTCAATGATGATTGTGCAATCCAAGCAAGCCTCTCTAGCACTTGCAGCCAAACATTGTTCAAACAAAGACATGTATTTTAAATTCTAGTAGATTTAAAAAGGTTTTTTAAATGCCACTCACTGCAGCCAATGTTGGAACAGCCAGACAAGTAACGTATGTCATGAAGTCATGCTTATGGTGAAGGCAAACCGGTGAAACGGCACTAATGCTAATGCCGGGAGAGGCGGCTAGCTTGCACACTGTGGGCCATGCGCCCAGCCAGCTAGCTAGCTACTGGGGGAGGCGGCTAGCCCCCCCCCCCGCTCAAATTAGGATCACTTTCTCATTTTAAATATATATGTGAGAACAAACCAAGGATATGTACTACTTAACAACATATATACGAAAATATATTGAAGTGAACTCACTCAACGCACTCAGGAAGCAGCTGAACTGAAGGGCAAAGAGAGAATGAGCTCAGGTCACAGATCAAAGAACAATCACGGCACCTGTGTGAGCTGCCCAGTTAGCACACCTGTTGTCCCGCTGCTCCTCGGTCCAGCGGTCATGTGACCCCACGTCCAACAGTATACGTTATTATTTAAATAAAACATTTTTAAAAAATGCCCAAAGTAACAGATTAAGTAACCTTAATGAAATTAATAAGTTGATGAATAGCTACGTACATGAATTGCAAGACTCTATAATAATTTCAGTGGTCATTGAAAACACAGTGAAAAACTGTGGAAGAATTTTACTTCCTGCACGGACCGACTGGATCATTGCCCCACCAATAGGAGAAGGCGGCCGTGGAGTTGGACACGCCTCCTCTCTGCTCTGACCAATCCCGTCACGGAGTCCGCGCAGCCTTATTAGCATACAGATGCGTAGTTAACACACTTTAAAATCCAGGTGACTGCGGTCAGTTTAAAATGTTTTATCACGCAGAAAATCAGAGCAAGAATAAGCAGCAGTGATGACACAATTACGGAAGATTTCCTGACTTCGTATGCGCACATATACATGCCCTAACAGAAGTTGATCTGCAATAATGGCATAATTAGAATTAGAAGAGAATAATTAGTAAATGAAATAGATTAAATGTAACAGTACAAACACTAGAAGGTCCTGACTCCTGATGATTCCCCACAGGTGGTTACAGTATACATTTAATAAAAAGCATGATGGATTTTCTCATGTTTACCAAATGCAGTTTCCAACGGTACCTTCCATGATCCATAAATGTTCTTGTCTTTCTGATCTATAGTCACAGAAAAAACTATTTTATTTCGAGTGTTTGCATTAGTTTTTATTTTTGCGATTAATAACTTTTCACGTTAAAATATTTTTCTCAGCCACACTTGCATTCATGCTTCACCATCAGTAGCTCCTTCATCAGCTGCTTGGCTACCAGCTCATTAGTAACATCCAGTCATATTCATACAGATATATGAAGAAATATTAATATTAGTCTGCTGATATGACAGCAGTGTTTTCTGCCCCACCTCCTCCTTCAGTGTTAAAGATTTAAGTACTGATGACGTCAGTAACACTTGTTCATGTGTGTGTTTATTTTAGTTTTTTTTGTCACTGATCTTTTGTTGATGCTTGGATACTTTAAGAACTTCCTTGAACACCAGAGTCTTTGCTATAAATGTTAAATTCCTTAACATAAGTGTCTCTGCATAAACTAAAGCATACTGTTAATCTCCCCCCTGTATCTGCAGATATAGTCCAGAGACAACAAAACATATCCAGTAGATACACTTAAGAACAAATCCACAGTTGATCTGCAAAGTAATTTCACAAGAGCAACATTTATTAAAATCAATAACATTTTGTTCTCGTGAGCATTGGACATCAGATGTACACAATATACAAATACAAGTGCATTTTGTAGCAAATATACTTTCTATAGAGACAGCAGCAGCAGCAGAATTGGCATGTACAAAAATACACATGATTTTTCTCACACAACACAACATACCAAAGGAACAAGATAATATATTTATATATATTTATATATTTCTGTATCATAAATATGCAGAGCTATACACGTTGAACACAATTCACTGTAATGGAGATAAGACTTATAATATTAATAATACAGGATAAAGTACATTTTGAGACCATTTAAAATGGCAACACCTAACGTGACAATGGCCTTATTCCAGTGTGTGATCCTGTGGAAAAGTTAAATTCATAATAACACTGTGATAATACTCATGAAAACTGCTCTCACATTGTGCTAAGAATATATTATCTACAGGTATGTATTTACATACTTTGCAGTACATGAATGCACAGTGAAATAAGGTCATTTATCGTTGTGTCACCTAAGAAATCAGCACTGCAATGACATGAGCACTGGAACAAATATATCATATTATTATGGACAAACGTACAACAGCTAGAGAAACTGTTTTTCAATGGTGCATTCAACTCAACACACACACACACACACACACACACACACACTCACACACCCTCACACACCCTCACACACCCTCACACAACAGGCTGTGTCCTTGACATTCTCGTGAGCCTGAAAGGGTTTCATGGCGAGGATAATGAAGTGCTATAAAAGCAAGAATAACGCCGTTTTCTCCCTCAGTGGCACAAGTTTTCCAACATTCCCGCTCAGGACAGGCTGTCAATGATCACATCATATTCAGCAGCACTCTTGACTTTATTTCACACACACACACATACACACACACACACATGCACGTACACACACGCATGCACACATCGACAGTTTTTAAGTCTTCCTCCCTTGCTCCCCTCCCTCCCAGGTCACAGAGATATAAACCAGAGCTCCAGAGGACAACGCTGTGTGCTGTGTGTCTGGAAACTCGGCTCATATGAATAAATACCGACCCTACTGATTCACTGATTCAGATGTATAAACACTTCACTTAAGAGTAATAGTTCACTTAACAGATGCAATTGCAAAAGGTACAACTGCCATTAAAATAGTCTGTACAGTGGGGGCATCTGTCCTCTCCTCCTCTGGCACCGCAGCAAACATCACAGGTGTTATGGATAGCGCTGATAGCATGTCCATAGTATTTGCATTAAGTCAAGACCATCATCAGTCAGACCATATTGTTGTCATTACTGCAGCAGAGAGCAGCAATCAGATGTACCGTTACAGTAAACTGCAACACCTTTTTGTATTGGGCTAACTGCTGCTGCCAGAAGGAAAGAGGTGTACATGGAGGAATATAATCACATCAATAATGACAACAGCTGTTTACAAGTGAACACATCAGGTCACATCACATCACATCAGTCTTTCATACACAGTTTGCCTGTACCATGTTCTTATTTACACGTACGACTCCTCTGCAAAAAAAAGCTGTTCGAAGTCGTCCACTCGTGGGTCGCTGCACCGCCTGCTCTGCCACTCCCTCTTCCCCTGCACAATAGCTAGTGCCACCTCCTGACTCCTCCGCAAGCAAGCGTCTGCATCCTCCTGATCCTGCGAGGAAAAGTAGTCCCTCACAGCACGGGTGGCGGAGGGAGACAGGCAGAAGCGTGGTTCAGCGTGGTTGGGCTCCACGTCTGACACTCTCAGGCCGCCGTCTTGGGTCTGACCCTTTGAAATACGAAGTCTGTTCAGGGTGAGGCTGGAGGTGGGGTTAGAGTTCGCATTGACCTTGGTAGGTTCAGATGCTCTGCGAGGGAGGGGAAGAGTCCTTCTCCCTCTGTGTAACTCCATGGCCGGAGTCAGAGAGTGAGACTTTTGCCTCTGCAGGACCAGAGTGGTGGCGCTCTGTCCATAGAAAACACCCTGTGGGGGCTGCACACACTCATGTCCAGCCAGCCTGTGTGTCACATCACTTCCTGCGGGTGGTTTTGGGTTGTTAGGGCAGGCTGGGGGTTTGTGGGTACAGGTCAGGTCGTGGAGCTGCCTCAGCTCTCTGACCGTCAGGGGTTTCTCTGTCCCCTTGTAGAAAGGGGAGCGGCTGCGCTGCAGCTGCAGCAGAGCCTGCTGGTAGGACGGAGGGCTGCTGGATCTCCGCTGGCAGTTTTGATTCATTACCACGGCCTCGGGGGCGCCGACAGAGCAGCCGTTACTGCTTGGGTTGGTTTTCCCGTTTACCACAGGTGAGTCCTCTTCTGCGTGTCCATTATCAGCCTGCTTTAGAGACAGGCGGCGGTCCTTCTTCAGCCACATGTTAGGATGGAGGCCATGGGGGTGGGAGGTGGTATAGCTGGTCCGCGGAGGCTGGGTGGGCTGTGGAAAATGAGGCGTTGCTTCCTTCTGAGGGGGGGAGCCTCTGGGTGACACCTGGGGTCGCCCAGGAAAGTTAGGGGAGAGAGAAGTAGGTTCAGCCAATGGAATCACCCCATTGGTGGCATAGTCAGTAGAATACTGTGAGAAGGCGGAGTCTAAAGAACTGAGGGAGGAGCCCGTGGGTGAGGTTGCCGGTGACGACAGACTGGAACAGCTGGCATCCAGTCGCAACGGAGGCGGAGGAGTGTGCTTCACCTTCCTCCACCCACCGTTCTGGACTTTGACTCCTCCCTTCTCGCACCCATCCTCTCCCTCCTCCTTCAGCTGCAGCCCGTTCAGCCCCTGCTCCAGAAACACCTCGTCCTCCTCCCCCTCCCCTTCCATGGCAGCATCATAGCTGGCCTTCCGTACAGGCAGCCGATGGTTATCGGCATGAACCGTCACTGTGCCTGAAGGCGGCGTGCTTGCCAGGGCCAAGGCGGGCTCTGAACTCCTCCTCAGCCTCCTGGGACCCTGCGACGGGCCGTTGGCCTGGCGGGTGCGAGGCTGTCGAACCGCAGGGCTGAACCTCCTGGGTCTGGCCAGCGGGGGGAGTTGAAGCTGGAGGTCGGTCTCGGGGTCGGGATCAGGGTCGCAGTCGCTGAGGGTTATGACAGAGTCACGGCTGCGGCTGTCAGGCTTGTCCTTGTCACGAAGCGGCAGCTGCTCCTGGTAGGGAGACTCAGGGTCATCGTTGAGCTCATTCTCCAGGCTGTCATAGGACGAGTCGTTCATCTGGAAGGACGACACATCTGCAATAAAAGAAAGAGGAGGAAAAGAATTTTATTACTTGATTTAGATTAAAGTGTTAATCAAGATAATATAATACAAAAATAAACACAATAATTTAGCAAACAAAACATAAAAAGACTTTCCTTCCCAGTTTTATATGTAATATGTAATGGTAAAGCAGCCCTTCAATTATAAATCAAATTAATAAATTAATTATTAAGTGTCTTTCCACCCACTAGCTACCAAAACTAGCAGTCCAAGTGTAACACTTCACACAAACTTAATTTATCAACACAGCAACCTACAGCAAAATGCAGCTACATCTCTGCACTGGTAGAAACTTCATCCACAAAGCTGAAAAAGTGAGCGCAGTCTGACAGAAACTAGGATCAAATCTTGACCCCTGATCTGAGTGAACAAAGTCACAGTTCACCGCTGGAGACGAAGAGAACAGAGGACAAAGCGGCGTCCCGCTGTGTGCTCCCTGACCTCGGTGGTTATTTATAGAGCGAGGAAGGAGAAGAAAGTTGGCGGTATTTATGAATGAGGAGATTCAATGCCGTGTTAATCAGCATCTGTGACCCCGGCAATCACTGAAATTACAGCAGGTCGATCTGCTGACCCCAATCAACAGGCCTGAAAGAGCCTCGGCCATTCAGTAGCGCACACACACACACACACACATACACACACACACACACACACACACACACACACACACACACACACACACACACACACACACACACACACACACACACACACACACACACACACACACGCACGCTGAGCTAGTCAATCTCAAACCACCTTGTAAGACATTTTTTTGGGTGCAACACACTGAAGCATTGTCGGTAAACTTTCAGAAACACAAATCAAGGATCTGTTCTTCACCCACACACACTTTAAATAAGACTTTGACCTTTACTGTGACCTTCATAATTACTGTGAGAGCTACAAGAAGATATTCTGTGGGCACATCTTTGCTTTACAGACTTAGCTGTGCTCTTTCATTGCATTTCTTATGACTGAAAACCGAAAGAAAACAATTTGATTAAGAACTGCATTTTAAACATTGTTCAATTGTTCTGTTTTATGTACAATCAAACATTTCCAACTTAAAAGACTTATAATTCAAACCTCTGCATTAAATTGTCAGTTTGATTTAAAAAAAAAAAGAAGAAAAAAATCATGTGATTAATCAGGTAAGAAATATTTTGGAAAGAGTCTTTGCTGCTTTTTTGGACACAGTATTCCCGTCATGTTACTGACTCAGCCCTTCGCAACCCTTCATCTCCACAAGTTTATATAACAGAGCTGAATTAGAAATGTCATTGTTGGGATTACGAGCCGATATAAATGATGTGACAGAGTCCGTGCATGTCATTTCAGTGGTTTACTGAAAGAACAGAACTGGGAACTCTGAGTAAAAGCCAAATCCACAGACTTGGCCTCCAGCTCCAGGACAACTCTATCAAACTCTGCCTCTGTCCGCATTCTGTTCATTTTCTTACTTATTTATGCCACATGATTCATACTTCAGTTGATTCTCTCCCCTCTCCTCTCTATTCTCCTCTGCTCTGCCGGTTCTCAGTTACCTGATCCGTGGTCACTGCTGCTGCTCTTCTGGCTGAAGCTCCTGAACAGCGTGGTGACGTCTTCTCCCAGGACGCCGCTGCAGTTCTCTATGAGGAAGCGGACCAGCTCACACACCTGCAGGGAGAAGCACCACCTGGTTATAGCGTGAACTCTCTTGACTTCGCTTTTTTGCTGCTGACAATTCATTTTCATTGTCGTACAGTTGGATGAAAGTGTGATTCTGTTTACGCAGAGCTTCGTTTGTTGAAGCGGGTCCTCGGGGGAAGCAGCCAAAGTTCAGCGGTAATTCAGCAAACATGCGGTTTCCAAATGTCTATGTCAGCACAAATTAAACTCACAAATCTGGAACATGCACACACAGACACACACACACATACTGGAAATCAATACATTCACAGCCCCTAGTGAACGTTTTAACATTGATTGCATTGGTTGTGATGGCGTTCTGAAACTGCAGCTGCTTGTGCTGTAGCTCCTGCCTCCTTCATTTTTATGACATTATGACCTGAATAGTTTGTGATATCACTTCCAAAAGTTGTGTTTTTGTGTCCAATGTTATCATTCTGAGAAAAGTTTGCGTTCATTTGTTTGCACTGATGTCGACCTTCCAACCCCTACACAAGTATTTGCATTCCACACCCACCAAGAAAACATCAAACTCCTTCTTTTCCAGTCCTGGATAATGTCCTGATAATAATATATGACGTCACGTATTGGCTTTGATTAGCGCTCGCTCAAATGCTTGTTGAATGACCGCAGCTGGGAAACGACAGATGAATCCAAGTGTGGGAGTTTTGGACAGTAACTTTTCTCAAAGCACAACTTTAAGATAATTCATATTACTGTATTCATCATCACATTTAGGAGCAAACACCCCACATCACAGCGGCACGCCTTTTTGCAGCAGCTTCCAAAACGAAGAGTCAACACAGCGACCGGCTCAGTTTTGAAACATGCCGACAGTGTCTGTGCTTTATAGGTATTATCAGCTCAGCTGGAATCTGTCCTCAAACAAATCACTGTATTTGGCTGAAACCGCCGCCTCTTACACTAAGCAGACAAAATTTACCAAACACATGACGTCCTGTGACACAAACAGTCGGCGTCATACCCTCCCCGGTTTGTGGAAAGTTTCCACTAAAACCTGCCCGTTGTGTTTATACATTACTTCTTTTTCCTGTTGTCGTTCTGACTCTGTGACACTACGGGCAACACAGGCCCTCCCTTTGTTTGTCTGTTTTGCGGGCCAGATGTTGTGTGTTCACATGTGTGTACGGTGTCCACATGCATGTAACAGATCAGTGCTCAGAAGAGGAGTAAGGGATAAACATTGTGCACAACCAGGCTACACTGTTACGTCATTTTGCATATTATAAAGAAATAAAAGTCTCACTTCCCTTAAAGCAAGAAAAATCTGACACTGTGGTGAGATCATTCTATTTCCAATAAAAACCAACCTGTTTCTTGATAAGTCTTTTTAGCCGTGTACTAAAACTACCATTGATGGTCCATTTGTTCTCAGTGTACCTGGCAGATGATGGGAGATGAGTGGTATTTTCAGAGTTATGTAACTTAATGGGGGCCACAGTAATTTTACTCTAACAACCGGGCACAGTTAATCCCTTACACTTGTTACCAGACAGCAAATGCACCATGTTCCTCCTGGTTTTTATCTCCTCTGCACGTACACTGCTTATTTCTCTTCAGAGAGCACACGTACTAATGACTGCTGTATGAAAGCCCTGAGGCCACATTTTTGTTGGATTATGGGTAATTCTCAGCTCTGTTTTCCATAAACTGCAGTGGCAGTTACCATTCAGTTACACAACAAATATGAATGCACTGATGTCTCGTCTGTCTGTTCCTCACTGCCTGCCACGTGGCTGACAACGCTAACGTCCACAGGTAGATAGATTCCCCAGAGCCGCTTCATCATCTACCAATCATCTTCAACAGAGTGAGACAGTTTCTGATTAGAGGCAAGATAACTTCCCCTTCAGATGTTGTTGCTATTCTGTGACATCTGTCTGCTATCAAAGCACAGTGACATTCCTGAAGAACAGCACATCACCTGACAGGCGATTTTAACTGGTAACTGGTAAGTATGTCTTTACCAGTCAAACAGTGGGCAATCAGTGGTGCAGATAACCTAATCAATCTATTAATTATTTACACGTCAAACGTTTTCACGTCTCACTGGAAACTGGGGTTAATTTGGTTGGAAAGTGAAGGGTTAATTTAGACTAGTCTAAGTTACATTAAACTATTGTTTTTTACTTCAATTTAATTTCTACATGTCCATGTGAAGCAGGTCCAAACCACAAACTGAATCACATAACTGTTAAAATACTCTTGAACCAACACTTCACCAGTGTTCTTGTTGAGGACAGACTCCATGACTGCAGAGGAAGTTAGCTTAGCTGGGCTAACATGTCTGAGTTAAAGAGTGATAGTAACTGCATGTCCCTCCTCAACCACTGCATGTGAGCTGTGACACGTCCAATGGAGATGTATGGTCAAACAATCAAAGAAAGTAAGAGGACTATAAAAACGTAGCGTTACTTCCTGTTGTGTTGATTATACTTTATTTAAGCGTCATGTTTCTAAATCTGCTTCAATGGGGCTAAAAACAGCAGCTAATGTAAAAACATGCAAAAATAATAACAATTTTTTCTGAAAATCCCT